CAGCAGTGGCATCAGAAGCAACAGAAATAGCAGGAGCAGCGTAGGCAGGGCAGTGCGGCTCAGTAGGGCAGCGCGGCTCGGCAGGGTGGCGCGGATCGGCAGGGCGGCACGGCTCGGTAGGGCGGCGCGGCTCAGCTCCTGGCGGCGCGGCGCGGCAGGGCGGCGCGGGTGCTTACTAGGGGCGGGTGCAGGGCAGGGCCGCAGTTGGCGGTTAGGTCAGGGCCGCAACTGGAGCGGCAGCAGGGTAGGGCCGCGACAGGGCGGCTGCAGGGCAGGGCCACGGCGGGTGGCGAAGGCAAGGCCGCGACTAGCGGCGAAGGCAGGGCCGCAACGGGCCAGCGACGGGCCAGCGACGGGCGGCGACGGGCCGGCGACGGGCGGCTACGGGCCGGGACGGGCCGGCGACGGGCCGGGACGGGTCGGGACGGGCCAGCGACGGGCGGCGAAGGCAGGGCCGCGACAGGGCGGCTGCAGGGCAGGGCCGCAGCAGGCGGCGAAGGCAGGGCCGCGACGGGCGGCGACGGGCTAGCGACGGGCTGCGACGGGCCCGGACGGGCCGGGACGGGCCAGCGACGGGCGGCGAAGGCAGGGCCGCGACGGGCGAGCGAAGGCAGGGCCGCGACAGGGCGGCTGCAGGGCAGGGCCGCAGCAGGCGGCGAAGGCAGGGCCGCGACGGGCGGCGACGGGCTAGCGACGGGCTGCGACGGGCCCGGACGGGCCGGGACGGGCCAGCGACGGGCGGCGAAGGCAGGGCCGCGACGGGCGAGCGAAGGCAGGGCCGCGATTTGCAGAGAAGGCAGGCGCGAGGCGCGCTTCGAGCAGGGTAGGAAAAAATTCGTGGTGGGCCCTAAAAAAACGTTCCCACGAGGGAACCTGCTCAGAATACCATGTCAGAATAGTGAAGGAAGGAATGACTGAACAAGCAAGCAGGTGGGTAAAAGTAGCAAACCCAAAACTACCCCACTACAGCCTCGACAGACTAGAGCATATAAGTTTGACACTAGCCAGCGGGGGCGCTCAGCCTCGTCACCAAACTGTGCGCGCCAAGCGTCGTCAAGGCGGGAGAAGCAGCGGTGCTGTGTGTGAAACTTCCCGCCTGTCTGACAAGCGCGGTCACCTGTGCGAATGACATACGAGCAGCGAACACTACCCCCAGATGCCCCACGCTGAGCAAACCACTCACAAAGCTGCTGGGGCGTAGGGGTCTCGCTCCGACGCTGCTGCTGCTGCCTCTGGCCACTGCCAGAACCTCCCCTCTGAACATCTCCACCCCGACCGCCACCACTGCCGCCGCCACCACTCCCTTTGCTGCCACCACCGCCACCACCACTCCCACCGCTGCCACCACCGCCGCCACCGACGCCCCCACTCCCGCCACCACTCCCACCGCCACCTCCGCCACCTCCACCGCCTCCACCACCACCACCCCCCCTGCCACCTCCACCACTCTTTCCTCCCTTGCCCTTGCCACTGCGGCGCTTTCCACTAGGAGCAGAAGCAGTCCCGAACTCCTCAGTACCAAGGATGTCAACAGCAGCAGCAGAAGCGTAGGAGGGGGCAAGGGGGGAGGGGGAACACCCCTCAAAGAAAGGTGTGCGAGGAGTGCCACGAGCAGCACCTACAGCAACTATGCTAGTCTCAGCTGCAAGGAGGTGCTTCTCGAGCAGGTCGAAAGTGAGGTCAGCGGGGTCAAGTGCGAGAAAGTGGTCCCTGACTGCGCGAAGAGAGTCAGGGAGGCGGCTGACTATGATGTACATCGGGGGTGGGTTCTTGTCTAGGAACTCGGCTTTGAGGGCAGCGTGGTAGCGATTGTCGCTAGTGCGAAGGTGGGTGATGAGGTCCTCGACTGTGGCAAAGGCTGATAGCTCGGGAAAAAGGTAGGGCAGTATAAGGCGGCCGAGAGCATCAGAGGCAGGGGAAGAGTAACGAGCGACTACAACATCGTACTGGGCTTTATCAGTATTGTGCTGGCCAAAGTGAGCGCCTTCGGCTAACGGCAAGTGATTGCGAACGGCAAAGCGAGCAGCAGCGTCACGGGTAAGCCACTGTGATCGAGTCGCACTATCAGCTGTGTCGGGAGGGGTGAGAGAGGCTCCAAACGTGTGGTCAAGCAACGAAATGCTGTCTCTAGAATCGCTCAATAGGTACAGCTGTAAGTCATCGAGCCACGTATCGAACTGGATTGGATGGCCCTCATGATCTAATGTGAGAACGCTGAGAGTAGCCACAGCGGGCATAGCAGGGTGGCGCGTGACGAGCAGGGGAGCACGCAGGCAACAAGACGGCGTGACGGTTAGGGCGGCGCGCGGGCACTAGGGAAGTGCGCGTAGGCAGATCAGGGCGACGCGGCGGCCAGCAGGGCGGCGCGCGGGCAGGGCAGGGCAGCGCGGCAGCTAACAGGGTGGAGCGTGGGCAGGGCAGGGCGGCGCGGCGGCCAGCAGAGCGGCGCGCGGGCAGGGCAGGGCAGCGCGGCGGCCAGCAGGGTGGCGCTCGGGTAGGGCAGGGCGGCGCGACGGCCAGCAGGTCGGCGCGCGGGCAGGGCAGGGCGGCGCGGCAGGCGGCAGGGCGGCGCGCAGGCAGGGCAGGGCGGTGCGGCAGGCGGCAGGGCAGGGCGCGGGCAGGGCAGGACGGCGCGCGGCCAGCAGGGCGGCGCGCGGGCAGGGAAGGGCGGCGCGACGCGCAGGGCAGGGCGACGCGCGGCGAGCAGGGCGGCGTGACGCGTAGGGCAGGGTGGCGCGCAGCAAGCAAGGCGGCGTGACGGGCAGGGCAGGGCTGCGCACAGCCAGCAGGGCAGCGCGACAGGCAGGGCAGCGCGACTAGTGGGGTAGGGCGCTACGGGCAGCGAACTAATCGGTGGGCCCTAGAAAAATGGTCCTGGAATAGGACCTGCTCTGATACCATGTTAGAATCTAGACGAGGGAATGATTGCATTGAGAAGAAAGTTGGTACAAGTACTAACCCTAATTGGGTTGTACCCTTTATGGGCTACCCCACTACAGCCTACACAATATAAACATTATAACAGTTTGACAATTCACTGCGGCTGAGTGAGGCATTGCTGCTGCTATACGGCTCGAGCTCTCAGTTCAGCAGCTGTAGGTGGTGGGGAGGTGTATTTGTGGCACAACGTATGTTGACCCAGCAGACCCGCATCATGCCCTGAGATGCAAGCACCAGCACGGTCCATCTCGGGTGCATGATGAGGTGAAGTTTGTGGTGGCGAGGATCTCTAAGGCGTAAGGGGGGGTGGTGACGATGGAGGATAGTGTGGTGCTGCCGGGGAAGCGGGTTGACGTAGCGGTGCGACGACCAATGGCCGGGGAGGCTCACGCTCTAGAGATCAGCGTCGCGGACCCGCAACCGGGGCATGCAGTTCACCCTTTTGATAGTAGAGACGTGGGGGTGTCTCGGCGGTCGTTTCCGTCGGTGGCTTCGACAGCAGGGGGACACGCACGTGGGGCTAGCGGTGTCACGGGGGGCTTGTCGGGAGGATGACACTTCGTTTTCGGCTTATATTTTGGGGTCTCTGAAGGCGCTCATCGGGGTGGCGTTACAACGGGCGCAAGCTCTTGTCATCCTGCTTCGGGCGGCGTCTTCCATGGGGGGGATGAATGTGGATTTGGTGGACCGGGAGAGGGATGACGTCGAGGTGGAGGGCGGGGCTCTTTGGGTGGAGGCCCCGTACATGGTGGATGCGCATATGTGACTGAGGGGGGGTGAAATGGGGTGGGGGATGGGGTGTCTTGATGTGGTGTCCTGACTGGGTGTTTTGATTGGGTATCTTGATGGGGCTTTTTATGAATGTTGCGTTTGTGATTTTTTGGAAGTTTTAATTTTCTTCTCCCTTTCCTTCTCCACCTCCCTTCTCCTACATTGTTTTGGGGAGTGGCGTCATTCCGTTCCGTCATTCTCGGGGATTTGCTGCAAGGAAAGCAATGTCGTTGAGTCAATTTCGGGTACAGTGAGCCGAGAGCAACGGATGATAGGTGTCGCGTAACACGCCCTGAGATTGCCGAAATATTCGCCTTCGGTGACATGCACAGAGCTGGGACAAGTCATGGGTCGTCCATGCGACAGAGTGACGAGCAAAATTAACTTTTCAAGTATTACTACCTACGAATGTAGGCTATGATATTGTGACCCTATGATAGTGTAGAGGCTACAGAAAAATTGCCTGTTATCGCGGATGGCAAGAGTCCGTGAGTGGCACTTGCCACATGGATCCAGCACACATCCCGCCACGCGTCATCCAGTCATCCGAGTGATTGTGTGGACGGATCCATCCGCGTTGTCAGAATCTGGACAGCCACACACCATCACCACACCTCGTCATCCATTCACATCCAAAATCCATCGACCGTGCAAAGCAAACCACTATCTCTAATAATTGACCGTCGATTCAGAAAGGGCGCTTCCGTCAAACAAAGCTCAACCTTCGTTCATATCTACCCATCCATTCTAGAAAAGTTCGTGTGGGGTAGTTCAATCCGACGGTCGAACAGTCTCAGAGCTAAGTGCCATATCAATTATCTTTGATCCAGGCAGGGTGCAGTGATCGCAATTCGCAGCCAGTGTAGAAATGTAACTCAAAACGAACGAATCTGTGATCCGTTTTGTTGTGCAGGTCGTGTTTCTGAACGAGTAGTTCTCTGCTTTTAAAATCCCTTGGCATGACACGACTAAAATCTGGCAAAATTAGGACCAGAAGTTGAAGCAAAGCACCACAAGCACACACCGAGGCACTAATCAGCTTCTAGGCGTTTGCGACGTTTACGGAGAATAGCAGCCCGATACCGCACGCCAGCTTCGCCCCATTCTGCTGCATTGTGCGAGCCGCGTACCCACATTGCAGGACAGACTACCGTACGGAAGCTTTGCTCTGTTCTCCTACACAACCAAACTTAGCAGTCCTCGGGAGCCTTCTCGCACGCACGCCGGGAGCGCGGAAACCTGCGCAACGTCATTTCATAAACCAACCCCACGCTGCATTTACATTAACCATGGCTTGCGCAATCCCCCTCACGCCCCTCGCGTCGGCTCCCCGCGCCGTCGCCGCCGCCGCGTCTCCCGCTACCACCAAGCCGAAATCCGCGTCGCCGCTTCTCGCGGGCAGCGCGGGGCTCCGCTTTTCCCGCGGTCCGATCTCTTCGGCGGCTGTCAGCGTGTCTGGCGCGGCGCCGTTGACACTAACGGGCGGCGCCTCTGGTCCGCCGCGTGTGACTATGGCGAGCGCGTACATCTGCCGGGACTGCGGGTGAGCGCTTGCGTTTACTTGTTTCCGTGCCGCCTCGAGGCGACTCAATCACGTTTCATTTTTTTATTTTCTTCGTCTCAAACAGCGTGGAATTCGCATCCGCGTGTCGCTTCCCCATCCTCCCTCTCCCCACTCATCCCCCACCTCCCCCCCCCTTCCCCCCACCCCCCCCCCCCCCCCCCCCCCCCCCTCTCTCCACATGCGTCCCTCTCTCCCCCCCTGCGCGCGCGTCTCTCTTGCTCCGACGAACCGCAGGTACATCTACAACTCGCGGTCGCCCTTCGAGAAGCTTCCAGACACCTACAAGTGCCCAGGTGAGGCGCCTCGAAAGAATTAGACTTCTATTAGTGCCCGGGTGCGACCTTTGTGCAAATGTCCAGGTGCGTTTCTGGCCCTTTTCGAGCCAATTTAGTAATCTAACCAATTGCATACACGATAATGACCACAAGATATGCGGTTCAAGTTCCGTGTTGAGCGCCTTTCGCGCTGCCGAAGCTGTCTATACGCGATACTGCTAATCAATAACCCATTTAATGTGCTCCGTCGCCCCAGCTTTTCTGTCGTCGTAAGTTGCAGTTTTTTGTTTTCAGACACCAAGAAGCGACACAAGAGTGGTAAAGATTGCGCCTCTCGCCTCCGCAACGCCCTTGTTAAATTCCCTGTGTCACTTTTGAGAAATTTCAAAAGTGACACAAAGAGTAGTAAAGAGTGCGCATCTCCGCGTCTCCAGTACCTTGCGCACATCTCCGGTACTTTCGTCTTGCACACCCCCTCATGCCCCTTCCATCCGCTAACCGCTCTCACCTCTCTCCCCCCCCCTCCCTCCCCACTCCTCTCCCGTCCTCTCTCCCCAACCTCCCGTCCCCGTCACCACCTGTGGCCCCACCTCCCCCCCGGTTCCCCCTCCGCCAGTGTGCTCCGCCCCCAAGCGGCGCTTTAAGCCGTACGCTGCGCCCGTGTCGCGCAACGCGAATGACCTGGCGGTGCGGAAGCAGCGCAAGGCGGAGCTGCAGGGCAGCGGAGGAGGCGGGTGAGTTGGGGGGAGGGGGAGGGGAGGAGTGGGATGGGGGATGGGGGGGTGGAGGGGAGGCGGTTGTGGGAATGGGTGCAACGCCAACGTCCAACCAGTAACGGGGCGCTTTTGGGAATACTCAAAAGCGACTCAGATTTAGCCGGTTGTGGGAATGGGAATGGGTGCAACGCCGCCAACGACCAGGCGGTAACGGGCGTATCTGCAAAGTGGGGGAGGCGGGTGATTCGACAGGGGAGAGGGAAGGGGAGGGGGGACGTGGTAGGGAACGAAGTGACGGGAGGAAGTAACGGGCGGGGGAGTGAGGGGAATAAGGGGTTGCGGGGAAGTGAATGTGGAGGGGGGGTGTGGGGAAGAGACGGGGGAGTGAGGAGGGAAGGGGATGCGTGGGACTGAGGGCCGAGTGTCGGGGAAAGAGCCGTCAAACAAGCCTCTCAAAAGGTGCAGAGGAAGCGCGGACGTGGGAGGTATACAGGCGCGGACGTGGGGGGTATACAGGCGCGGAGGTGGGGGGAATACAGGCGCAGAGGTGGGGGGAATACAGGCGCGGAGGTGGGGGGAATACAGGCGCGGAGGTGGGGGGTATACAGGCGCGGAGGTGGGGGGTATACAGGCGCGGAGTTGGGGGGTATACAGGCGCGGAGGTGGGGGGAATACAGGCGCGGAGGTGGGGGGAATACAGGCGCGGAGGTGGGGGGTATACAGGCGCGAAGGTGGGGGGTACACAGGCGCGGAGGTGGGGGGAATACAGGCGCGGAGGTGGGGGGAAAGGCCTGCCATTCAGGCCCACCGTTCCCTCTTTTGGAACTTCTTTCACAGCACCAACTACTTTCCCTCTCTCCTCTCTCTCCCCCAAACCCAAATTATGATGAATCCACAACCTGACCCCTCTCCCTTTCCCCCACCACCCTTCTGTAATTCCCTCCTCGTGTTTCTGCCCAACCTGTCGTTCCCTTACTTCCGCCCCGCCTCCTCTCCGACCTTTTCACCTTCTCCTTCCCCTGTCCCGCCCACGCCCTTGCCCTGATGCATGCCTTTCCTATTGCCTGCTAGTTAACTCTCCCCTCGTTTCCTCCTGATTCTCTGTTTCTCCCCCCCTTGCCCCTCACTCCCTCTCCCTCAACCTCCCCCACCCCCCTCCGCCCCCTCCCTGCCCCTCTTCGCCTGCCCCTCTTCCTGCTCCCTTCTCATCCACTGCTACCTCCCTCTGCTTGGCGCCGCCATGCCTGTCCCTCTGCTTGGTGCCGCCATGCCTGCTCCCCTCGTTAGCACAGCATTGTGTCTGTGTTGTGATCTCATCATTATCCCTTTTAAGACCCTTGAGCTGTTTGATTGAATCGGTGTATCCTGTGCTGTCTCATCAGCGCCCTTCTCTTCGTCTACCTCCTTGTTACCTCCTCATTCTTCCCTTATCCCCATTGCCCTGTTCTCCCTGCCCCCATCCCCACATCCTTCCCCCCCCCCCCCCCCCCCTCTTCCCCCTTCCCCTGTCCGCCATTCCAAACCCCCCCTATCCCCGTCCTCCCGCTATCAGAGACTCGCTCCCTGTGCTGGTAGCAGGCATTCTAGCAGCGCTCGTTGGTGTAGCTGTTTTCCTGAACTCAGCTTATTAAGCAATGTTGAACTCCAGCCAGCACAGACGATGCTATGCTGCACTTCGGTTCAATTGTTCCAAGGTTGCATATATTGCGTAATCAATTGTACTTTCAGAGGTTGGGACTTTAGCAACAGATTGGTACCAGTTCAATTTACAAGAAAGAAGAAAGCACTCCGCCCACCTTTCCCCACTTACCGTATGCGCCGGAGTATTGACTGAGCACCGCGTACCTAATCGCGATATGTAGGGCTGAGCTGGATCGCCTTGGTTCATATACGTTCCATTGAGAATCTGGGGAGAAGGGCCATCGGCTCTCAATGGTGCAACGACATGGGATGGGACATGTTGAGATAATGTCGAGACTTATGCACTTCAAGGAATTCGTATAGTTAGTACAGTAAAAGTACCGATAGACTGACGTCAGCAAAGCGCTACGCGCCTTAGGATGACGTCATCAGTAGCTGTAGGTATCGCGAATAGTCACGTACCTTTTCAGAACAGGAATAGCGCGAATAAATACAGCACAGTAGGCGAACAGGTACTTTAGTCTAGTTATATATTCTGTATGCTTGTCATTTTATAATATACTTGATTTCAGAAACCTTTGATCCTGTTACAAGTCACTCATATAAAAGACTTCCACTGCTACAGGAAGCTACTATCCTAAGACTACGATCCTATTCAAACAGTTCAGATTCTAACATGGTATGAGAGCAACTTAGGATTAAAACAGCTTCCATCTGCCTATTCTACAACTATGTCTGGATCTCCAAGGTCCAACAATGGCTCTTCTGTTACGAGCCCATCACGCCCAACTGCGTCTCCAGCTGCTGATAATTCACATCTGCAGCAACAACAACAACAACAACAACAATATCAGCAACAACCGATGTACGGCATGCCATTGAGCAGTCAGCCCGTACACACAACTACAGCAGCGGAATCATCGACAGCAGCCGCCGCGACAGCAGCATCAGCAGCCTCAACAGCTGCAGCTGCAGTCCCTGGTTCTTCAAGTCAACCGGGACAACAGTCTAACTTCGTTCCGACTGGACCTTACCAATATCAAGGTGCTTACCAACCAGCAAATCTTCAACAACGTGTTAATGCTGCCGTCTTGTCGCTTAACCAGATGTTTCCAACTCCGATGAGCATTGATGGCTCCAGTTATCAGCGTGGTCAAATGTCACAAGGAAGTGATGGGTCGAACAACTCTTTCTCCTTTGGTCCTGCTGGACAAGGACAACAAACACAACAAGGGTCACAAGCGCCATCACTCTATCAGCTACAATCAGCTGACGGTACCGGAAGTTATATTCCTGCTTCTGCAAATCCTACAAAAATCAAAACGACAATGCCTTTTAACGGTCAAGATTTTTATACCTGGAGCTTTGAGTTTGAGCTTCTTGTTCAGACCGCGGGGTTCTGGCAGCTGTATGACGGCACATCACCATTTCCATCACACGGGTCACCACTTCAACAAGCCACTTTTCGATCGGCGTCGCTGACTGCATACACAGTTCTCGTTCGTAATCTGACTCCGACTGAACAGCTCGGAATTCGTTCTTTTCGTAACAGTGTCGCTCCCGCTGAAGCAGCTTGGTTATACCTGCAAGGGGTTCACATGGCAAAAGATACTGTCAACCAGAGTAAAATTTTGACGCAGCTGTCAAATATACAGATGATAAACGGCGAGAAGGTGACGCAGTATATTAACCGCGCTCGAAATCTGCGCGATCAACTTCAGAAGTGTGGAGGGTACTTCCCCGACGCTATGTTCCACACGGTGCTACTTGCGGGTCTTGGACCAGAATGGCGACAGTGTCGCTCTATACTTCGGATGCAAGCACAGTTGTCCGAGGGGGCACTCTGTGCCGCTCTCATCGCCGAGCAGCAGGATATGGATCTGCACAACGCTCGAGGAGGGAAAAAGATGGTAAACAATACAGTCAGTTTTTATTCTAATCCACGTCACAAGCCAGTTTGTTCTTTTTGTCGAAAAACAGGACACACTATTGATACCTGCTGGTCGAAAGACAAACCATCTTGGAAGCGGTCTGCTTCGAAACATAATAAAGATTCTTCAAGTGAAGCAGAGAAGCCGGAAGCAGAGAAGCCGGACGCTGAGAAGCAGAATACTGCGAAGCTGAACTCTGCGAAGCCGACTACTGCACCTGCCAAGACACAAACAAAAGCAATTATTAATTGCATGACATCAGTGTCAACGGTTTATGATCCTGATGCTGAAGAGCGGATTCACAACCGGTTCAACAACGAACTCAACACACCGATTCCACCTGAGGTCTATGCAAATCTTGCACATACCATTGCAGGTCCCAATACTTGGTACCTCGACAGTTGCTGCGGTCAGCACATGTGTTCGTCAGAGACGCGTTTCATCGTGAATCAACGCCGTCTGGAGAATCCCGTTGTCGTCACGGTCGCCAATAACCAACGACTTACAGCTCACTGGATGGGAAGTATTGTTCTGGACTCAGTTGAAGAAGACTTCAGTCTTCACCTGAACGAAGTTCTTCTGGTCCCTCGGCTTGGCTTCAACCTCATGTCATCTGCACAGCTCATGAAGAACGGGATTATACTTCTCGGTGAACCTGGAAAATTCACTCTGAAATACGGTGAAAAGAAACTTGGCACGGCAGTTGAGCAAAACGGTGTTTTCGTTTTGAACTTCATACCTGAGCGTACTACTGCTGACTCTGATAACATTCTCTCGCTTGGTCCTTGGGAGCATCGTGATGATATTGATTACACCGACGATACAGTTCCACGTGAGGGAGTTGTCCCGACGTCTTCAACCACGGCTGCCGCCGTCATGTTGACCTTTGACGATCAAGGCTTGAATGATGTTGAGAACTCTCGGGAGTACATGGCTGCAGTTGAAGGTTGGGGTGATCCGACGAACATGCCGACTGATGACGGCATCTGGGGGGCTGACGAACCTGATGAAACAACTTGGGGCGAGACACCTGCTGAACGCGATGCTCGTCTTCTCGCTGAAGCTGAACAACGCGTCGCTGAAATGGAGATTCTTGACCCGGGTCGTCTCGTTGGAGTTGAACCTGTACCTGCAGCATCCGATCAAGAAAGCGGCGAGTTAGTAGATGTTGAGGTTCGTGTTCCACCACCAAATCTTACTCGTTACGTCGCACCTGCTTTCGATCAGATCCGCTCCGATGGTCATCAGCTTCTGTTGTCATTCTTCGCTAACGCCGAGTACTATCTGCGCGCACAAGGTCACAAAGCCACGGGAGAAACATGGCATAAACGACTTGGTCATCCGTCGCAGTTTACGCTAAACAACACGATCAAGGCTGCAGTGCTTGACAAAAATTCGTTACTCTTACCGAGCGGTCTCGAACTGAAGCCGGTGAATCGCCCGGCA